TCGCGCAGCCCTTCTTCACCGCTACCCTGTCGTGGTGGCTTATCGGCGACCGAAGGCGGAGCCCTTGGCAGTGCGTCATCAGTGGCATGCTCGTCGGCGGGACCCCCACCACCCTGATCAGTGCTGGCCGCTCGAACCCCAGCCCAGTGCTTCTTGAGCATGTCGAGCACGCTCTTCCCCGACTGCTTCCCCGAACTGCCTTCCCCGGCTCCCTTGCTCCCATCGCCGGCGACGCGAGAACCAACCGCTCCCTTGGTCTGCCTCACGCTCGCCGAATCGTCTCCGTCCCCCCCCCCCCCCTCCTTCTCCGGCCTTCTTGCTACCGTCGCCGGCGACGTGAGAACCCCCCGCTCCCTTGCTCCGCTTCGTGCTCCTCACGTCGTCTCCGTCGCCCCCCCCGCCGCCTGCCCCCCTCTTCAGACCCTGCTTCGTGGCCTCCATAGGTTGCGCATGGCCGGCGTCGTTGGCCGACGGCGACGACCCACGCCGAGCTTGGGTCGCCACAGTGCCGACCATCTCGGTCATTATCTTCAAACCGGAGGCGAGGAAAGACTGCTGCGTGACCTCCGTCACCGCCTTCAGCAGATCCTCCTTGAATGAATTCAGGAACTCTTCCGGCAAGGCCTGCGCTGGGGTGGTCGGCGGCGGCGGCTGCACGACGAGGCGGGGAGACACGGCGGCTGCAATGTTGGTCTGCGCGGCGCCGATGTATTTTATGAACGTCTCCTCCAAAGCCTTCCTCGCCTCACCCACCTCACCCGTCACGTGGTCGGCCAATTGGTCCACCGCGGTCGCTCGAGCGACCGCCATTCGTCCGTTGGGGGCGTCAATATCCAGCAGCATCTGCCTCGCTAGCTCGGCAAACCTCTTGCCCGATTCAACTGCGTTCTCCAGGTTGCTGGTGAGGTCCTCGGTGATTGTGGCCGCCATGGTCGACGTGGCCTCTTTGAGGCGCTCCACCGATTTCCGGTCGGTGTCCGCAACCTGGGCGGTCAATGCCGTGAGCTTGTCGAGGATCCCAGCTACCGCCGCCGCCAAGCAGTCGACCCGCCCCGCCTGATCACCGAGCTGCCGTTGCAAGCGTGCATTGTCGGCACGCAATTGTCGGTTCTCCGCACGCAGCTGCTCGACGACGTCCGGCATCGCCTGCCGACCAACTGCGGTGGAACTTGGATGACCGCTCACCGCCTTCTTTTTCCTGGACCGCTCCCCCCCGGCCTTCTCTGCGGTAGCATCGGTATGCATTTCCACGCCCGTCTGCTTCGTCGCCGCGGCGAAATCCCCATCTTCGTCGGCCTCGAGGTCGACAACTTCCTTCCCTTCGCCGACAACGACCATCCCACTCCCCCCGTGAGCCGCCTCCTCGCCGACCTCCTTGCTGGGTTCCGCTGTCGCCCCCTTCCCCTCTCCTTCGATTTCCGCCGATCTCCCACCCGTTTCCGCCGCTCCTTCTGCAACGTTCCCCTCCGCCATTTCCACGTCCACCTCTTCGTCATGCTGCTCCTCTTGCTGCTCGTGGTGCTGCCTCTCGTGCTCCTGCTTCTTCTGCTCCTGCTGCTCCTGCTCCTCCACCGACTCCGACACCGACTCCGACTCCGACTCCGACTCCTCCGAGCCCCCCTCATCCTCACGATCCGCCTCACGACCCTGGACCCCATCATCATCCCCATGAACAACCTCGTCCCGGTGCTTCTCCTCGGTCCCGGCCACCCCATGTCCTGCTGCCGCATCGGCCTCGTCGACGCCGCTACCCGGCTTCCCGACCGAGGTGCCACGCGCATCAGCGACGGCAGGGGCGACACCGCCAGCTTGGGGCGCCGACTGAACCTCCTCGCCGTCGTCGTCACAGACGTCGGCCGCAACTACGTTTCGGCCCGACCGTATGAGCGCGACCTGCTTCTTGATGAAGGCTACCATCTCAGTCCGCAGCCCCTTCAACCCCGCAACAGCGACCTTGTCCATGCTGGTGGCACTGCGACGGAGGGCGCCGGCCAACCGATCCTTCCGCCTCACAGCCCAGAGCAACGCGCTCATTGCTAGCAGGCCGGAGCCCGCGTCCCCGTCCCGGACGGTGTCGGGCACTTTCTGCACACAACACAGGAGAGCGCTGATATGAGCACCGAGATCGGCAGTCGCATCTCGCAAGGACGAACGGCAGTTGCATCGCGCAAGGAATTGACACCAAACGTACGAAACTCACATCTCGAAGGGGTTCGTCGCAGTCGGCGAGCCTCGCATGCACCTCCTCCTCGGACGGCTTCGCCCAGTCCCATTTCCTACCTTCGCGCCGAAGCTCGGCCATTACAGCCGCCCGGAAAAACCTGCAAAGCATGGCACAGACGGTCAGTTAGCACGGTGCACGCTCCGCATTGACAACGCAAGCGGCGTCGACTACACTATTGAGCTCACTCCAGCACGCGTTTCGCCTCTTTGATGTGCCACTCCTTCACAGTCTGCGGGTCGGCGTGCCGGATCGAGGTCCTGATCAACTGGCCCGATGCCTTCAACAAGTCGCCGGGGCACAGGATGATAATGACGCTGCAATGTGTTCCCGGAAGCGGTGCGATGCTGCACAGACAATGGACGTCGACATAGATCAGAACACATAATCGACGCAGGTTGCACCACACGCGCGACGACCCCGAACACCCTCACCTCGATATCAGTGGGATAACCGCCACGTCGGCGTCAAAAACCTTCGCGAAGACGGTATGGTCGTTCTGACCCATCGCCGCCCTAAGACGGCCGACTCCTATCGACCACAGCCGCTGGTCCTCCTCCGTTCCGCGCAACCATGCGTGCCTGCACGCATGCATGATCAGGAGGAGTGCGTGAGGATGTGGTCGGGACGCCGGCAGATACTACGGTTGCGGCAATAACACGACGGGTCGGGGATTCGACGAGAGCCGAATGAATATGGCACAACGCATCGCCTACGCCGACCAGACACCTTACGTCGGCGCCACCGATGTGATCGACATCCCTAATCCCTAACCCATGAGTCCGTCGACCTAAAAGACGGGTATTATGAAACCACGCTAGGGCTATCACCAGCATGAAATAACGACGCCGACATCCCCATACGTCACTCACTTGAGGCCGAGTCCCAAGCAACGGGCGTTAAACTCTAGCATAGGGTTTGTCAGAACGGCGTAGTCGTGTTCCTCGAACTTGGATGTGAGTCCTCTACCGACGCTTAGATACAGGGGGAAGTCGCGCGAGGTCGGCGTCGCTTCGTCGGCTTTCTGGTCGGCCGCCATGGCGGGAGAGCGAGGATGCTATGCTACGGGCTAAGGGAAGAAACGGTGGGAGAATGGAAGGCGCAGAGGTGGGAAAAGAACATGAAAGAGAAACGAGAACGCGAAAATGAAGGGACAGCCCACCTCCAACGAAGAAAAGCCAGGCGGAGCCTCGCAGGCCCGGTTGAGCGTCGCCCAGGGGGCCGTGGTCCCTGGCTCGGCAGGGCTCGTGCACGGGTGGCGTGGCACAAGTGCACCCTCGCCGCCGAGCCAGCAGGTCGACGTCACGTCCCCTGGCCTCGGTCGGCCAGGGGACGCAAATTCGCATGCACGCGGTGCGACGTTTCGGCACCACGTGTCGATTTCGCAGCGGGTCGCGAAAACCGTGCGCCTTGGTGCGAGAGACCCAGGACTTCGCTCGATTTTCGGCGGGTACGAAATGTCGCATGCATAAAAAATAACGATGCGAAACGACGGGAGGGCACGTGGCGTCACCGCAACGGGTCGCGAAATCGTCGAGCGTCCCGAGGAAGCCCCCGAATTTCGCACGGGCCTCGCCTGCCCGTACGGGCAGGCCGCGATGGGTTACTAGGACCTCGCGGGCAGGAGGGACGGGTGGGCTGCCTTCGCGCCGGGGTTACTTTCCCTCGCGCGAGGTCTCGCCAGCTCGCCGCCCCCACCCGGTAACGTGGGTCGCTGTTCACTTTCGGGGGGGGGGGGGGGGGGGGGTTTGCGGGGCGGCGGTCGTGCGCTCGGCCCAGCCCTGGGCCAGGCTGGCGGGCCCGCACGCGCGTCAGTCGCCCGCCTCGTCGGACCCCCTTCCGTCGACCCCCCTCGTCGACCCTGGCAATTCGGCTCCGTCGACCGAATTCCGCTGGGATCTTCAGCACAGTACAGGGAGTTTTATCAGGTCACGGTTCTGCCCGAAGCTTGGACACCAAGAACCAAAATTTTCCCTCAGTGACGTGTAAACACACCCGATCATTGGTCACCATACAAGTTGCAGAGCATGGCAGCCAATCAGACGTGTTCATTGCTACCAAAGTGTCCACACTTCACTTGGTGTCCAAGCCAAAGAACCGCGACCTCAGACCAAGTTCTCATCACCACCACCCTGCATATCGGGCTTTGCACAGTGTACACCAAGGAACACCAATTTACATTATCCAGTGTTTTTCTCTTATTCTTTATTCAGACTCCATGTGCGGTGCCAATTGAACAAGTAAAAAAACAAAAGCTTAGAGTGCTTGTTATCCTTTCAGCTGGTATATACTCCCAGCTGCTGCTGCTAAACACACACCAGCCTCATCGACTGAGCACAACATGGGAGTAAAAGGATACAGGCTTATCCAGCTACCAGTAACTTCAAGGCGACATTTGAGTCGACTCAAAAGTCACTATCCAGATGTAATTTACCTCGGCTGCTCAGATACGCACAGCCCATCTCGCAATCAAGGCCTCCAATACCAACCTCCATCACCCCGCGGAGTGCTCATGCAGCACCACATACTATCAAGCACAGCCAAATCAATCGAATCCCCTCCCATCGCCCCATCAACCCCTTGAGTGATCATGCAGCAGCACATACTCTCGGCTGCTGTTTCAAGGCGCCTCAAAATGCTCCATCCGCCCATCCCTATCCCCCATCCCTCCATGCCCCTATCCCCCATCCCCCCATCCCTATCCCCCATCCCCCCTATCCCCCATCCGCCATGCCCCCATGCCCCCATCCCCCCATGCCCCCATCCCCATCTACAACCATCACCCCGCCGAGTGCTCATGCAGCAGCACATACTCGCGGCTGCTGTTGCCAAACTTCACCGTGTCCTTCTCCATCAGCTCGTAGTATCGTTGCGATTCAATCCGTGATCCCTGCAGGTAGCACATACACACACACACACAAGGCATGAGGAACTATGGCTGCTGTTGCCAAACTTCACCGTGTCCTTCTCCATCAGCTCATAGTATCTTTGCGATTCAATCCGTGATCCCTGCAGGTAGCACATACACACACACATACAAGGCATGAGGAACTATGGCTGCTGTTGCCAAACTTCACCGTGTCCTTCTCCATCAGCTCGTAGTATCTTTGCGCTTCAATGCGAGACCCCTGCAGGCAGCACATACACAAGGGCAATGGATGGCACACACACAAGGCGTCAGGGACTACTGCTGTTGCCAGCCTTCACCGTGTCCTTCTCCATCAGCTCATAGTACCGCTGTGCCTCTATGCGCGGTCCCTGCAAGCCGAGGGGCGATAAACGGCACACAGACAGACAGACACAAACAAGGCACTGGAAATCACAGTCCTCACTGCCAAACAGCACCGTGACCTTCTCAATCAGCTCTTAGTCATGTTGCGCCTCGATCCGTGACCCCTGCGCGCAGAACATGCACAAGGCAAGGGCAATGGATGGCACACACACAAGTGGCCAGGGGGGATTAGTGTTGGTGCCAGCCTTCACCGTGCCCTTCTCCATCGACTCGTAGGACCGCTGTGCTTCAACGCCTGATCCCTGCAGGAAGAGAACACACGAGGGGGCAATGGATGAGAACACACAGACACACGACAAGCGAACACACACAAGGTGCTGCACGACAATGCTGCCAGCCTTCACCGTGTCCCCCTCCATCAGCTCATTATGCCGCGATGCTTCGATGCGCAACCCCTGCACAAGCAACTACTGTCACTGCAGCTACTGCGCACAAGCACCACACAGCACAACACACGCATGAGACACAAGCCACTACTGTCACTGCTCCCAGACTTCACCGTGTCCCTCTCCATCAGCTCATAGTACCGCTGTGCCTCGATGTGTGATCCCTGTACACAACATGGCATACACTCCAGGGCAATAGACGGTTTGAGGCGCCGTCACTTGGCTCCGCAGCCCCTCGGACTGTGAGTGATGATGACAAGCACCAAGCACCTCAAGAAATATTTTGAGCACTGGGCCTTCTTGAGGCGCCTAAAAGAGTGCCTCAAGAGATACTTTGAGGCGCCTGAATTTTCACAGCCCCTCAAAGCGGGAGTGGTGCTGAACCAATCAGTAAGCAGAGTGAGCGAGATGGGGTTTGGAGCATACAGATTGAATGATACATACACACAACCATGCCATGATACCCCCATCACCATGCCGCACCACACTGTGCAACACCACGCACCACCGCGCACAATCGTGCACCACTGTGCACAATCATGCAGCACGATGCTGCACCGTACAGCACCATGCAGCAACGTACAGCACCGTGTGTGGCTCACATTGAGAAACGTGCCGTTGGTGCTGCCGAGATCCATCAGGTAGGGTCTGCAGAGAAGAAATGGGGAATTGAGAGTGATTGTGAATGGTCGAGACTGGTCACTAATGGTTGCAAATGACTGCAAATGGATGAACAGAACAGATACATGGGATACACGAACCTTTCTCTCTCTGAGCTGTTTTTTAACAGCTTTCCCCTTATCACTTCCCCGCTTCATGTGAACCAGCTGTGGTCTCATTTTACCTCTTTCCTCCCATAATATGCAAAACCCCATTGCACCCCGCAACATTTATTACCTCAATTTTACAAGATCTTCTTCGCTTTTACAAGGACCACTCTCACACCAGACAAACACCACTCTCTCACCTCACAGCACCACTCTCTCACCTCACAGCACCACTTTCACCTCACACCACCGCTCTCGAACCTCACAGCACCACTCTCTCACCTCACGAGGGAAGTAATCTCTCCACTCGGCTCTTCCTTGCTGGTATGATCACAAGAAAATCACCACTACCACTCCTCACAAGCCGCACTCTCTAACCTCACAGCACCACTCTCTCACCTCACAGCACCACTCTCTCACCTCACAACACCACTCTCTCACATCACAGCACCACTCTCTCACCTCACAGCACCACTCTCTTACCTCACAAGTGATGTTTTCTCCCTACTCAGCTCCTCCTTGTCCACCAGGCTGGCATGACCATGCGAGAACCACCACTACCACACCTCACAAGAACCGATCCCCTCAACTCACAACAAGCCCCGCTCTCTCACCTCACAACAAGCCCCGCTCTCTCACCTCACAACAAGCCCCGCTCTCTCACCTCACAAGGGAAGTTATCTCCCCACTCGGCTCCTCCTTGTCTACCAGGCTGGCATGCCATAAACACACACAACAAGATAATGACATGTGGGCAGGTGAGATAACATGGTGACCCACAAGTTGCCACAAACACAACACACAATGAGATGACGACATGTGGTTAGGTAGGTGAGACAAACAACATGGAAAGGCATGAGAAGAAAGCAGCAAGAAATGATCGCAGGTATGGAATCAATCATGCTTGCACCCACACCACACCCACGCGGTGGGGAATTTTAAGGTGCCTAAAAAATGATTGCAGATATGGAATCAATCATGCTTGCACCCACACCACACCCACGCGGTGGGGAATTTTAAGGTGCCTAAAAAATGATTGCAGATATGGAATCAATCATGCTTGCACCCACCCACATGACACCCACATGGTGGGGAACAGAGAAGACACAGCCACAGCCACCGGAACTGAATGACGGCGTGCTGTACACCGCACGGCACCGCATTGCACCGCAGAACACCATGCTGCAAACCGCACAGCACACCATGCTGCACACCGCACAACACCGCACGGCACCACAGCACAACACGCCATGCTGCACACCACACAGCACCGCACGGCACCGCACAGCACACTCACCGGAACTGAATGACGGCGTGCTGCTTGCTGCACGACGGATGGTCAGTTGGCACATCTGCAACCTGCCCCACATCACATCACATCACATCACATCACATCACATCACATCACATCACATCACATCACATCTCATCACATCACATCACATCACATCACATCACATCACATCACATCACATCACACCACACCACCACATGGCACGGTAAGGCAGCAGGGCAACGGACAGAAAGCACACAGGAGGGCAGCGAACAGAAAGTTCATAGCACTGACGACCATAACTTAAAGCCCCATGACGGATGGTCCGTTGGCACATCTACAACCTGCCCCACATCACATCACATCACACCACATGGCACGGCAAAGTCGTGTTTTGGGTCGGCTCAAATCTCCACAGCACATCACATGGCATGGCAAAGCAGCATAAACGTTATATGGCTTGTAGTAGACAGTGGATCACTCTCCCCCACACAACCATTTTCTTTTCCACCTCAACTCCCATCGCCCCTCATCACACTCCCATTGCCCCCAACGCTCTCATTGGCCTCCCCACTCACTTTTCTCTCTCGGCCAAAGAGGTAGCACGTCTGGCGATGGATGTAGAGCGGCTCTGCATACCACATGCGTGCGCATGCAAAGGGGGACAGACATGCATACACATAAATGAACACACAGAAAAAAAAACAGGTGAAGAGGTAACATCTCTAGCGATGGATGTAGAGCGGCTCTGATACCACGTGTGTGCGCAGGGCCGAGGCGGACAGACATGCACAGAGGGGCACACAGACATGCACAGAGGGGCACACAGACATGCACAGAGGGGCACACAGACATGCACAGAGGGGCACACAGACATGCACAGAGGGGCACACAGACATGCACAGAGGGGCACACACACATTCACAGAGGGGCACACACACATTCACAGAGGGGCACACACACATTCACAGAGGGGCACACACACATTCACAGAGGGGCACAAACACATTCACAGAGGGGCACACACACATTCACAGAGGGGCACACACACATTCACAGAGGGGCACACACACATTCACAGAGGGGCACACACACATTCACAGAGGGGCACACACACATTCACAGAGGGGCACACACACATTCACAGAGGGGCACACACACATTCACAGAGGGGCACACACACATTCACAGAGGGGCACACACACATTCACAGAGGGGCACACACACATTCACAGACAGATTGTTAAATCAAGTGAAAAGGCCGCACGTTTGGTGATGGATGTAGAGCGGCTCTGATACCACATGTGTGCATGGATAGACAGACACGCATGCAGGGGCGCACACACGTGCGCGCACGGGCGGACAGGCATGCATGCATATAAACACACAGATAGGCAAGCACAACCCAACAGTGAGTCACATGTCCAATGCACTGGAAAGAAAGAGAGGTGAAGGGGGTGTTGGCAGGAGGTTGTGGTGGGGTGCAAATAAACAGGGAGAGGGGATGAGATTGGAGGGGAAGGAGGGGGGGGGGGGGGGGGGGGGGGGGGGGGGGGGTAGGTTGTGCTGTGGAGCAGGGAAATGGGAAGGGAGGAGGGAAGCGGAAGGGGGAGTTTGGAAAGTCCGACCAAGTAGAGTGGAAAGCAATCTCGGGAAATCGATTTTTGAGTCGACTCAAAAGTCACCTCGACCAAGAAGAGTGGAAAGAATTCTCGGGAGATCTCAGAAACTGCCTCCAACAACAAGAGAGCATGGGATGACTTTTGAAGCTCCTTACCTTCCAGGAATCACCATAATAAGTCTCACCTTTGAAGGGCTCCCCATCTTCAAAGACGTATAATCGCCAGCGGATGGTGGGCTTGCATCTGAGTCAACTAAAAACAAATCTTCACCTCTACAATTCTCACCTTTAAAGGGCTCCCCGTCTTTGAAGACATATAGCCACCAACGGATGGAGGGCTTAAAAGGCCCCCAAACTGCCAGAACAACTCACCTTTGAAGGGTTCCCCGTCTTTAAAGACATATAGCCGCCAGCGGAGAGAGGGCTTGCTCTGAGTCGCTCAAAACACGCCTCACCTATTAAAGACACAGGTTTAAGAGGCCTACCTTTGAAGGGCTCTCCGTCTTAAAAGACGTATAGGCGCCAGCGGATGGAGGGCTTGCTTTTGAGTCAATCAAAACTCGGCTCACCTATTAGAGGCTCACCACTATGAGGCCTACCTTTGAAGGGCTCTCCGTCTTTAAAGACGTATAGCCGCCAGCGGATGGAGGGCTTGCTTGTCTTCCTTCTGGACTCAAAACCCTTAAAGCCTCACCTTTGAAGGGCCCACCTTTGAAGGGCCCACCTTTGAAGGGCCCACCTTTGAAGGGCCCACCTTTGAAGGGCCCACCTTTGAAAGGCCCACCTTTGAAAGGCCCACCTTTGAAAGGCCCACCTTTGAAGGCCCAACCTTTGAAGGGCCCACCTTTGAAGGACCCACCTTTGAAGGGCCCACCTTTGAAAGGCCCACCTTTGAAGGGCCCACCTTTGAAAGGCCCACCTTTGAAGGGCCCACCTTTGAAGGGCCCACCTTTGCAGGGCCCACCTTTGAAGGGCCCACCTTTGAAGGGCCCACCTTTGAAGGGCCCACCTTTGAAAGGCCCACCTTTGAAAGGCCCACCTTTGAAGGGCCCACCTTTGAAGGGCCCACCTTTGAAAGGCCCACCTTTGAAGGGCCCACCTTTGAAGGGCCCACCTTTGAAAGGCCCACCTATGAAGGGCCCACCTTTGAAGGGCCCACCTTTGAAGGGCCCACCTTTGAAGGGCCCACCTTTGAAAGGCCCACCTTTGAAGGGCCCACCTTTGAAGGGCCCACCTTTGAAGGGCCCACCTTTGAAGGGCCCACCTTTGAAGGGCCCACCTTTGAAGGGCCCACCTTTGAAGGGCCCACCTTTGAAGGGCCCACCTTTGAAGGGCCCACCTTTGAAAGGCCCACCTTTGAAAGGCCCACCTTTGAAGGGCCCACCTTTGAAGGGCCCACCTTTGAAGGGCCCACCTTTGAAGGGCCCACCTTTGAAGGGCCCACCTTTGAAGGGCCCACCTTTGAAGGGCCCACCTTTGAAGGGCCCACCTTTGAAGGGCCCACGCCCACCTTTGAAGGGCCCACCTTTGAAAGGCTCCCCATCTTTGAAGACGTATAGGCGCCAGCGGATGGAGGGCTTGCGCGCCTCTGGAGGTTCATTGTACACGAGCGCGACACCTGGCAGCATGTTATTGGTCGGTGGGGTTGGACAGGGGGAAGGCACGTTACAGGCGAGAAGGGACGGAGGGGGATTGGTGGACTGGACTGGAGGAGGCTACATGAAGATTCGCTACACACCTCGCAGCATGTAATCTGACAAAAACCGTTGTTCATCATATGAAGTCATGTAATCTCCTTTGCCCTTGACTAATCAATACCCCATCCGTTCCCCTCCCCTTCGACCTCCATCTATCCATGCTTCCCACTTCCGCTCCCATAATCCCTCTCAACCCAGCTCTACCGCACTCAAATCCTGCCATAGAGCATGCCTGAGTGCGTGCACTCTTCGCCCATCTGCTTCTCCACTGCCACCCGCCTCCTCCAGCTCACCCTCTCTCACTAAAGGGAACAGCCTCACCACTCACCACCACCGTCCTCTTACCACACCCATCATCCCCACCACCAGCACCAGCACTGGAACCAGCACCCCACCAGCACCCCACAGCACCGCACAGCACCCACCTCGAAAGCGGTTGGTTTCTTCAGCCAGTTTCCCCGAGAGCTCAAACGACGGCTGTGCTGCTGCCTGCAGTGCGCGGGTGGGGGGTGGGAGAGAGGAGGCGGGAGAGAGAGAGAGAAAGAGTGGAATAGAAGCAGCCTTCAGCCAGTTTCTCCGACAGCTCAAACGACGGCTGTGCTGCCTGCAACGTGAGGTGGGGGGGCAGGAGGAGGACCCGGGGAGTGGGGAACGCAGTGGAGGAATGGGTAGAGGTTTGGTGCGGAGGGAGGGAGTGGGATAGAAGCGGTTGGTTTCTTCAGCCAGTTTCCCCGACAGCTCAAATGATGGCTGTGCTGCCCGCAGTGTGGTTTGGAGGGGGAGGTGGGGGTGGGGACGGGGGGGAGGAGGGAGGGGTTGGAAAGGAGGGACGCAGCAGAAGGAAGGGAGCAGGGGAGAGGGAACGGAGAAGGTGGTGCGGAAGGGGCAAGAGAGGGGAGGGCGAGGGAGAGACAGAATTTGCCTTCCGCCAGTTTTCTTGACAGCTCAAACGACGGCTGTGCTGCTGCCTGCAGCGTGTGGGGACGATGCAGTGAAGAGAGTGTGGTGGACAGAGAAGGGTGTGGTGTGGTGTGTGCGTGAGATTCATCACCCAGCCTCACCACATGCGCCCCTCTCTACCTCCTCACTCTATCCCTGCCTCCTCGCCTCTCTCTGCCCCACCCTCACCTTCCTTTCCCCATTTCACGGACTCCTTCTCCTCACCTTCTTCTTCTCCCCCTCACCTTCTTCTTCTCCCCCTCACCTTCTTCTTCTCCCCCTCACCTTCTTCTTCTCCCCCTCCTTCGCCTCAAGAGCCTTCTGCGTTGCTTCCATGGCCTGCAGCGTCTCTCTCTGCCCCGTCCTCACCCCTCTCTGCCCCATCCTCACCTTCTTCCCCGGCCCCTACAGGCTACATCCCCCTCCCTCCTGCTTCGATCACCTTCTCTCACCTCCTCTCCGCCTACTTCCCACCCCCCTTCCCCTCCCTCTCCCCCCTCCCATCCCTCCCCCATTCCCATCCCTGACCCACCCCCCTCACTTTGATCTACTACCCCTCACCTTCTTCTTCTCCCCCTCCTTCGCCTCAAGAGCCCTCTGCGTTGCTTCCATGGCCTGAAGCGTCTCAGGGTCCACGTCAGCAAGCACTCTCCCCCCTGCCGCCGACCTGTCCACGTCAGCAATCACCCGCTCCCCTGCAGCCGCCCCATTTCCGCTCGCATGTGGGGTGGCGCGCACAGGGGGCCCGCCAAGCGGGGGAGGGGGGGGCGCGGAGAAGGGGTAGTGCGGAGGGGGCGGAGGAGGGGGAAGCACGGGGGGGGCGAAAGCGGGCGGGGGAGGGGGAAGGGGAGGGGGAGCAGCGGAAGGGCCAAAGCCAGCAGCAGCGCGCGCAGCGTCTGCTGCCAGCGCTGCGGCATCCATCACTGGCGGGGCGCGCGCTGGTTTGGCGGAAGAACCCGCGCTGGCCCGCGCGGATCTCTCCGCCCTCTCCGCCCTCTCCGCCCTTGCCGTTTTCCCCGCTCGTTTCTCCTCCTCCTCCTCCTCTTGGTGCCTGCTCCGCCTCCTCTCCTTCGCCTCATCCTCGCTACTGTCGCTCCCGCTACGCCGTACACGCCCTCTCCGACCGCCCTCCTTTCCCCCTCGCCCCTCACCCTTCTCCTCCTCCCCTCCTCTCCGCCGCCCCCTCTTCCGCTCCTCCGCCGCCTCTGAATCGCTCTCACTCGCGGATTCGCTCCCCCTCCTCCGCCTCCCGCCAACACCGCTGCGACTGTCTCTCCCGCCTCTCCCGCTGTCGCGGTTTCCGCGTCCTCTCCCCCTCTCATCCTCTTCATCCTCCTCGTCACTATCTGATCGCCGCTTCTCGCTTCGACGCCGATCCGCATGCTTCGAAGCATGCCGATCGGACTCTCGTCCCTTCGCCGTCTGCCTCTTCTTCTCCTCTTTCCCCCTTCCTTCTCTCCTCTCCTCCTCTTCCTCGTCCGACGAATATCTCCGTCGCACGCGTCGCCCACGATCGCCCCGCCGTTCGTCTCGCTCGTCGTCCGACACCGAATTCCGTCGCCTGTTCCCGCTATGCTCGCTGTCGCTATTGTCGCTACCGCTGTCGCTCTCGCCTCGGCGACGCTGGCGATAGTGTCGCCCGCGACCGCCTTCCGCCATCGTCACGCGACAATCCGAGCCTACGGTCGCAACGAAACCAGCGCGAGGCGAAAAGGCTGTAGTGCAAGTAAGGCAAAAAGGCTCTGGTGTTGGCTAGATTCAAATACCCACAGTATATGTGTGTGACTACTAAACCAGCTCCAATCTATTAAGCGCCTCAGGAGTCAGTATATGTGTCCGAAAACTCGACCAGGTCCAGTGATAGGCTTATAGGACAAGCCTGTGCTGGTCTTACGGCCGCAGGAGCGTTGTGCACGACCCTCCTAACCTAGTCATAGCGTCAAGCTAGCCCTCCTCCGTTCGCCCAATTTCATCCGTTCGATCACGTTATTCGTTACCCCGTTTCGGATGCTTCTTTTTTGCACAACCTAAGGCATAGAAGGCGAAAAGGTTACTGTAAATTTGACTTTGACATATGGTACCAATATTGTCCATTTTCTTCCTAATAATCTGTATAAAGAAGTACATCAGATTTGCTTGTAGTAACTAATGGCTCTAGGCTATCACATTGACGAACGGCGCCCAGATTTGGTTCCAACCAACAAAAAGCGACCCAAAGAAAAACGACCCTAAATAAAGGCGCTCATCATAAGAAGCAACACAAGCTATCCACACCTTTTCTTACTTAAAAAAACAGTTCACTGTCCTCTTTCTACACTCTATCCCAACATTAGGCAGCCTGAGCCCCGATTTTGGTGATGGAAGAGTCGTTGAGATTGGCATGCTGGAAGCCGTACCTCTTGAGCACCTGGTTGTCTGCAAAGGCATATGCCCTGAGGGGGTTGTAGTGAGAAGAAGGTTGAAGGGAAAAACAAAACAAGCAGGGGGAGTAGTGGAGGCGTTGAGATTGGCATGCTGGAAGCCGTACCTCTTGAGCACCTGGTTGTCTGCAAAGGCGTACGCCCTGAGGGAGCAGACAGGTGAAGGGGACAACGAGTCGGGGGGAGGTGAGGAGGGTGTTGAACAAGGCTTGCATGGCATGCTCAAAGCCGCATGTCTTGAGCACCTGGTTGTCCGCAAAGGTGTACGCCCTGAGGGAGTTGAAAGGGGGCGGGGGGGTGACGGGGACAAGAAGCAGGGGGGAGTAATGAGCTTGGGTTGCACGAGACCACCTTGATCCAGCCCATACCTCTTGAGCACCTGGTTGTCTGCAAAAGGCGTATGCCCTGATGGAGAAGACGGGTGAATGCTGTGAGTGCTAACTCAGCGCTTGAACGATCGTGCTCGTGAGTGGCGTTCATACGCACTGGTAGATGCCGCAGTCGCAGGTGCCAGGGTCGTAGTCGGAGAACGGTTGAATCCTCACGAGTACTTGTTACTAGTGAATGTGCCACACACGATTACAGGTGAATGCCCCGGTTGCAGGTGCCAGGGTCGTAGCCGGAGAACGTGCGGTCGCACAGCTTGCGCCCCGTGAAGTGCACCGTGAAGGGCTTGCATGCTCACCAGTGCTTATAGACGGTGAGTGCCATGCAATGGTGAGCGCTGTGAGTGCTGTGGTGGCTGCTGCTGCCAGTGAGTGTGCCGTGCACATTTACCAGTGAATGCCGCGGTCGCAGGTATCAGGGTCGTAATCGGAGAACTTGCGGTCACACAGCTTGCACCCTGTGAAGTGCACTCTCAGACTGCCCACACGCCATGTTATATCTGAGAGCTGGTAACCAGTGAATGCTCGTAGTGCATACCGGTGAATGCCGCGGTCGCAGGTATCAGGGTCATAATCAGAGAACTTGCGGTCGCACAGCTTGCACCCCGTGAAGTGCACCGTGAAGGGCCACTCCCAGTCGCCCACCCCATTGTGGTGCTGCGCTGCTATTGCCTCCAGCCTGGTGGAAAGGGAACAAAGAGTTTGAGGAAAGGGAGGGGGCCAAGGGGGCAGGGAAAGGGAGGATGGCGAGGCAATGGCGTGAAGTGCAAGGTGGATGGCCACTCCCAGTCGCCCACCCCGTTGTGGTGCTTGGCTGCTATTGCCTCCAGCCTGGCGTGAGGAGAGGGCACGCGGAATGGGGGAGGTGGGGAAGGATGATGAGGGAAGGGCGCGAACTGAACGGTTAAGGGCCACCCCATTGTGGTGCTGCCCTCTCCGTTGTGGTACTTGGCTGCTGTCGCCTCCGGCCTGGTGGGCACGGGTTGGGATGAAAGGATGTGAGGATGAGGGATGGCATGAGGAGAGGCATGAAGTGCACTGTGAAGAGCCACTCCCAGTTGCCCTCTCCGTTGTGGTACTTGGCTGCTATCCACCTCCAGCCTGGTGGGCACGGGTTGGGATGAAAGCTATCACCATGCCAGAGAACAGGCGAGGTCACTTTTGAGTCGAATCAAAACTGGCGAGAGTCACTTTTGAGGCGAATCAAAACTGGCGAGAGTCACTTTTGAGGCCAATCAAAACTGGCGAGAGTCACTTTCAAGGCGAATTAAAAATCACTAAGGTGCGTGCTCCAAGCTATCACCGTGTCAGCCAGAGCACACGTGTATGGACTGCAGGCTTGGCTAAACTGCAGGCTCTGCTCTCTGCCCATCCCCAGAAACCATGCAGAGTGTACGTGGGGCCCAGGTGTGTGCGCAGAGCCCAGCGATCCCACACAGCCCTGGTTTATAGTATGCACTGCAGGTGCATGCTCTCTCCTCTCCTGCCACTCTGCCACTCACTTGTCAACGAAGCAGGGTATAAGAGGGGTCGAGGTGCGTGCACAGAGACCAGCAGTCCCACAGAGCACAACTACATAGTCTGCAGGCTCTGCTCTTTCCTCTACTGCCACTCACTTGTCAACAAAGTGTTGGTGTTAGCCCTCAATCTCACATTTTGTACTTGTACTTTTATATCCTAGTTTAGTGTAGTTTGCACTTTGTGTTTGGTTGGGTGTACACCCACATCCCAACCAAACCCAAATGTAATCTCCAAGCAATCTCCAACCCACCAATTGGAGATTGCCTTGGGATTACCCTTGATTCCCTAGGATTGCCCCCCCGATTCCCCCTTCATCCATACCTCGCTCATTCCTGATGTACTTAAAGAGCTTTGAGCTCACTACTAATGTATCAGTTCTAAGCTTATTTCTGACACAAAGACCCCCCAGAAGCCGTGCAGGGTATAAGTGGGGTCGAGGTGCGTGCGGGGAGCCCAGCAGTCTGCCAGAGTACAGGTGTATAGTATCGCTACATCGCTGCACTGAAGCCTCGGCTCCCTCCCCTGCTGCCACTCTGCCACTCACTTGTCAACGAATATTCCCCAGAAGCCATGCAGGGTATAAGTGGGGTCGAGGTGCGTGCGTGCAGCCCATCGGTCCGCCAGCGGCTTGAGGCCCTTGGCCTTGTCCTCCTCCCTCTCGCCCTCGCCCGTCAGCATCAGCACCAGCGCCGTCTGGTCGTCCGCCGGCCAGTTCTTGCGTTTCTGTGTGGGTTGGCGGGGGCAGGGGATGGGGGGGAAGCGTGAAGAAGGGAAAGAGCGCCAGCGGCTTGAGAACCTTGACCGTGTCCTCCTCCTTCTTGCCTTCTCGCCCTCGCCCGTCAGCATCAGCACCAGCGCCGTCTGATCGTCCGCCGGCCAGTTCTTGCGCTTCTGTGAAAAGAGGCGGGCGGAGGGGATACGGGGGAAGCGTGAAGAAGGGAAAGAGCGCCAGTGGCTTGAGCACCCTTGGCCTTGTCCCCCGCCTTCTTGCCGTCTCGCCCTCTCCTGTGAGCGTCAGCACCAGCGCCGTCTGGTTGTCTGCCGACCAGTTCTTGCGCTTCTGTAAGCGAGGATGGGCAGGCAAGGGGTGGGGTAAAGGAGTGACGCAGCGGAAAGAAATGAGAGGGGGGAGGGAGGGAGTGAAGGCATGCAGGAGGGGAAGGGGTGGAGCAGTGTTTTTCCGCCTGTCCTCCTTCTCACCCTCTACTGTGAGCATCAGCACCAGCGCAGTCTGGTCGTCTGCTGGACAGTTCTTGCACCTCTGTGGAAAGGGGGGGCCGGACGGTGCAGGGAAGGAGTCGAAGTAGGAAAGGGCGGGGGAGGGTGGGCATGGCGCGAAGGCAAGCAGTGAAGACGGGGGAAAGCGCGAGAGAAAGGGGGGGAAGGGAGGGAGTGGGGCGATCCAGGAGGGAAGGGCGGAAGGATGTGAGGAAGAGGGAAGGCACATGGGCGGCCAACAATGTGACGAGGGGACAAGTGTGGAACACAAAGTGATTGAGAGGTGAGTGGTTGTGAGGACTCCTGCACATGGCTGTGTTGTGAAGACTCAGCTCCCAAAGCACAAGAGTTGAAAAGAGCATCTGCTCTAATCTTCTTATGCACCGGCAGCAGGCACGCAGCATGCACCCGGAGCACCCAGGCAGGCAGTAAGGCAGCACGAGCCGGCAGCACCCATGCAGGCAGCACGCACCTGGAGCACGCGACTGGCGACCTCGCCCCACTTGACTGTGACCTTCTCCGACCGCCCGTACTGCCCCCAGACCATTCTCCTGTTATGCCCAGCATCACTGCGCGCATCACCCCAGCAATTGCCCACCATGCCAGGCAGGCAGCACGCGCTGGGAGCACCCAGGCAGGCAGGCAGGCAGGCAGGCAGGCAGGCAGGCAGGCAGGCAGGCAGGCAGGTAGGTAGGTAGGTAGGTAGGTAGGTAGGCAGGCAGCACACACCTGGAGCACGCGGCTGGCGATCTCGCCCCACTTGACAGTGACCTTCTCCGACCGCCCGTACTGCCCCCAGTCGTCCAGAAAGTCCAGCCCCTCCTGATGTGCGGGCATGCAAGCAAGGGGAGCAAGGATGTGAGACGGCGGTACAGAGGGGTGATGCGCGGGGCAGAGGGGTGCAAAGAGCGGGTGACCGTCTCCGACCGCCCGTACTGCTCCCAGTCATCCAGAAAGTCCAGCCCCTCCTGATGTGTGAGGAATGGGAGGGACGTGAGACACGAGGGAGGGACGTGAGACACGAGGGAGAGACGTGAGACACGAGGGAGGAAGTGTGGGGATGCACGGGTGGGATGCATGCGCGGGTGCAGCGCTGTGAGAAGGCGACACAAGGATTTTGTCATGCGGAAGTGACGCTGACATGGCGAGGTCGAGGTGTGACAGGGCGATGACGTGGCGAGGTCGAGGTGTGACAGGGCGATGACGTGGCGGGGTCGAGGTGTGACAGGACAATGACGTGGCAGAATGGCAGTGAGAGAGGCGGGCATGCGCACCTGTGAGTTGCGGATGAGGAAGCTTCCCGTGTTGAGCCCCAACCTGCGAATGCGGGCGAGGAGGGGGTGAGGAGGGGTGTGGAGGGGGCGCGAGGGGGCGCGGAGGGGGCGCGGAGGGGGGAAGGGGAAGTCAGCAGGGGGAGACAACAAGATGGAGGGTCGTGGTGCGGATGCAAGGTAGGGGAGCGGAGGGGAGGAGCGAGGAGGGGTGGGGAGGGGAAGGAGAGAAGGGAAGGTAAGTACAGCAATGAGTGAGAGCAAGTGGGGAAGCAAAGAAGACGGGGAAGCAAGGGAAACGGGAAAGCAATGGAAACGGCGAAGCAATGGAAACGGGGAAGCAAGGGAGATGGGGAAGCAAGGGAAACGGGGAAGCAAGGGAGATGGGGAAGCAAGGGAAACGGGGAAGCAAGGGAGATGGGGAAGCAAGGGAAACGGGGAAGCAAGGGAGATGGGGAAGCAAGGGAAACGGGGAAGCAAGGGAGATGGGGAAGCAAGGGAAATGGGGAAGCAAGGGAGATGGGGAAGCAAGGGAGATGGGGAAGCAAGGGAAACGGGGAAGCAAGGGAGGCGGGGAAGCAAGGACGATGGGAAAGCGTGAGCGAATCAGGTTGAGGTGGAAAAGTAGGGACGAGAGATGGTGGAGTGGAGGGAGGAAGGGGAAGGTGTCATAGGAGCGTGTGAGGCGAGTGACACTCGTCGGACCCTCACTTTCTCTCCCTCCCTTCCTTCCTCCCTCCCTCCCTCCCTCCCTCCCTCCCTCCCTCCCTCCCTTCCCTCCCTCCCTCTCTCCCTCCTTCCTTCCCCCTTCCTTCCCTCGTCCCTCCCGTCTCTGCCAGGTCAGCACTCACCAGTCCTTTCCGTACACGTCAGCACTCACCAGTCCTTCTTGCCGTACACGTCAGCGTCCAGCCCCGACAGGACGAGCACCTTATCCGCCTGCTTCTCTATGGGGTACCGGAACGCCATGTCTGCGCGGAGAAGGGGGGAGGGGCGGATGGGAAGGGAGGGAAGGAGAGTTGGGAGGGTGGAAGGAGGGAGGGTCATGCCTTGTCCGCCTGCTTCTCTATGGGGTACCGGAACGCCATGTCTGCAGGATGGGGGAGAACGGGGGGGAGAGGGGAGGGGAAAGGGGGGACGGGGCGGAGGATCGTTTCTTGTCCACCTGCTTCTCTATGAGGTATCGGAACGCCATGACTGCCAATCGCGCCAGGCGGGGGGGGGGAGACAGATGGGGAAGAAATGGGGGAGGGGAGGGGGAAGGGGGAGGGGGGAGGGTCATGCCTTGTCCGCCTGCTTCTCTATGGGGTACCGGAACGTCATGTCTGCCAGCCCGCACCAGGAGTGGAGGGGGAGGGGAAACAGGGGTGGGGGGAGAAGGGGGGGAACAAGGAGCGGGAATGCAGATCATGGCTTATCCGTCTGCTTCTGTATGGGGTACCGGGGGAGATGGGGTGGGGTAAAGGGGGAAAGGGGGAACGAGGAGAGTGAAAATCATGCCTTGTCCGCCTGCTGACCGTTGCCGACCATTGCTGACCGTTGCCGACCGTTGCCGGCTGTTGCTGACCGTTGCCGGCTGTTGCTGACCGTTGCCGGCTGTTGCTGACCGTTGCGGACAGCGAGCCCGAGATCATTAATCAAGCCAAGCCAAAACCAAGCCTACGTCCCAATCCAGACCCACCTTCCAATCCAGACCCACCTTCCAATCCAGCCCCACCGAAATACATCTCCCAAACCTCCTCTCCCCCCTAGTCCCCTCACCGGCAATCATGGCATCGAAGTCGACCCAGAAGAACCGCTCCAAGTCCAAGTCCAAGCCTAAGCCCCAACCCAAGCATAGGTCGCGATCCAGGCTTACCCCAAACCTAAGCGTACACCTAATCCAAGCCGACCTGCCAAGTCCAAGCCTGCCCCCCAACCCAAGCCTAGGTCGCGATCCAAGCTTATCCAAAACCTAAGCCTACACCTAATCCAAGCAGATTTCCCCAGTGCCCTCACCAGTGATCATGGCTTCCGAGTCGACCCAGAAGAACCACTCCACGTCGGGGTGCTGCAGCATGAGCATGCGCAGCATCTTATGAGACCACTGTTGTTAACCCGATCTATTCCTCGGCTACATCCAAACACACCTCCCAGTGCTCTCACCAGTAATCATGGCGTCGGAGTCGACCCAGAAGAACCACTCCACGTCGGGGTGTTGCAGCATGAGCATGCGCCTACCGCTGCACCTGAAACCACTGAACCCCAATCCAAAGCCACCACCCCAACCTACGCCCCATCCGGACCCACCTCCCAGTCCCCTCACCGGTGATCATGGCGTCCGAGTCGACCCAGAAGAACCACTCCACGTCGGGGTGTAGCAGCATGAGCATGCGCAGCATGGGCAGCTTCACCCAGAACGTCTTGAGCCGCGGGTCAATGGCGCCCATGCCGTAGTAGAACGGAACGTCGTTCAGCCGCGCGTAGTCCTGCTTGTTCTTGAGGAATTTGAGCAGTAGGAAGTCGCCGCTGTTGGGGCCCTCGCCGCACCGCTTGCTGTTGGAGCCCGAGACCAGCATCACCTTGGGCTTGCCGTCGCGCGTCGCGTTGCACCCCGGGTGCGCCGCGATGTACGCGCTCCGCTGCTCGTCCCAGTCTGCGGCGGGGCAATTGTAGTGAAGGAAGGGGGGAAAGGGGGGAACGGGGGAAACGGTGAGCGAGTGTTGCGCGAAAACCGAATTCAACCTCCCTTCGCCTCGTCGCTGCGATATAAGCAGCATACCGCTCTCTTGAGCATCGAGTGCGGCTGTTTGGCACTGACGACCGATCGTTCTACAGCCTATACCCGATATTGATGCACGCTCCCTGTGAACGACGCACTGCCAATGCTCGCCGACAAACACGCATCATCTCGGGTACCCGCGACTCGCCGTGGAACGATCAGCCACTAGTTCTCACAAATCTTATTGCCTTGGCTCACTGATGACGTGCGCGTAACTTCAGCGTTGGATTGATAGTCACCCGAACGATCAGCGACAGCTCTCACAAATCTTATTGCCTTGGCTCACTGATGACGTGCGCGTAACTTCAGCGTTGGATTGATAGTCACCCGAACGATCAGCGACTAGCTCTCACAAATCTTATTGCCTTGACTCAGTGATGACGTGCGCGTAACTTCAGCGTTGGATTGATAGTCACCCGAACGATCAGCGACTAGCTCTCACACATCTTATTGCCTTGGCCCGCAGATAACACACGCTTGACCCGCTGTTGGCCTAACCTTGAATCGCGGTTCACCTACCCTTGACCCGCGGCTCGCGGTCCATGTAGTAAGCCTCCTCCTCGGCATCGCACGCTCTATCTGAAAACCATAATACCTATGCTAGCCGTGAAGCACACAATATGTGCGGCTCGCGGTTGACCTACCTTTCGACCCGCGGTTGACCTACCATTGACCCGCGGTTGACCTACCTTTGACCCGCGGTTCCATGTAGTAAGGCCCCTCGTCGGCGTCAGATGCTGTCTGGATCTCTCCCTCGCTCTCCGGTTCTTCCGGCGCGAGGAGCGCCGCATCCTCCGCCTGGAGTTTGCGCAGTGCCGTGGCGCTGAGGTTGTCATACAGGGTGCTCTTGCGGGACGGAAAAATAGACGGAAACCGTCCGTTGTAAACGAGAAAGATCAGCGTCAGCAGCACTCCGACAATTACCGCCTGCTCTCCGCTGGAACGGCGGCGGTTACCCGCCTTGCGATTTCCAGGCTGTGCCATGATAGCGGGAGTCTAGCAGCTCTAAATCTCTGGAGCTGTTCCTTAGCAATGCTCGCTTTGTTGGATACTTTCTGATGTAAAAAGGAAACAAATCAAAATAAAAAAAACGAAGCGATCCCTAAAAGGGTCTGGGCGCACTCCCAACTATGTTTCTTCGAGCCGACAGCCACAACAAGACACAGTAAGCAGTGCACGAAGATCAACGAGAAGGGCTTGGTATTTCCAAGGTGCTCCCCTCCCCGCAGGCACCGAGAAACCGAATCTCAGATGAACCTCGAGCCAGGCCTCGCTCGAGCACATTTCCCCCCGGCGACCCTCGCTGCAGCTTCCACGCGTCGCGGGTAGCAATTCTCTGACACATTTGGCCAAACGAACGGTGAGACCCAGCGGACTCCCTCGATCGAAGTCAAAACATACCAGCGCTGTCAGGCGAAAGCATGCTGCAATTCGTGGGGCAGGTTAGAACTGATGGTTGACGAATCAGTCGTGGCGGCGGGAAATGCCCAGTCGGTCAAGCGAAACTGGCTGTCTCCGTTTATAAATCGGCTTGTTTGTGGAAGGTGAAGGAGTGTAATAATTCTGGAATGTCCTTAGGACAATTCCCTCCCTCAAATTCTCAACCATGGTGGAAAATCTAGGTCTCTAGTCTCTTGGAATAGCTAACATGACATAGGCATTCTAAATTGATAGGCATAACTGTTGATATAACCTAAGGATCAAGTGGTTTCTTGTAGTGACCTTGTTGAATAATATCTTAGAATTAGGTGGGAATGATGATTGGGAGAAAGTTGGGGTACAAACCTAGAGTGTCGAGTCGAGATAATTTGTGTACCCTCTAAGGCTAGCCCCAATATAGCCTAGATAATAACATACATATGTTTTGAAACACCCCCATAGGCGAAATGGGGGATAGCCAGAGCAAGCAATGGTCACAAGACCAGTCAAGAGAAGAAACAAAACACAGCTCAGGGTGGATCACAAAGTCCCACACACACTGAGCACAAGCAAAGGGCCACAAGGCCAGTTCACATGCAGAGGTATATATATATGCAACAAGAACAGACATGCAGGTATATATATAGATCACAGTACAAGCAGAGTCTACAGCAAGTGTGGAAACGTAGGCACAAGGCCCAACAAAGTACAAAAGCGCTGATGATCACCAGACGGAAGTGCCTTGGTGAAGATATCAGCAGTGTTGGCCCTGGTGGCCACGTGAGCAAGACGAAGCTGACCACGCTGCTGCAACTCTCGAGCCAAGAAGTAACGCAGAGCGATGTGCTTCGTTCTGTGCTCCAGACTGTGCTCCTGACACAAGGCAATGGCGGCCTTGTTGTCGACGTACAGCACTGGAGGAGAACGAGGCCGCTCTCCCAAGTCGGTCAGCAGGTAGGTAAGCCAGCGTAACTCCTGCGCAGCCATGGCTGTGGCGTAGATCTCAGCCTCACAACTGGAGCTCAGAACAGAAGACGAACGAGTAGAACGCCAAGAAACAGAGCCAGAGCCAAGGCTGAAGGTGTAACCCTGTGACGACCGCTGCGTAGCCTGGTCGTCAACCCAAGAAGCGTCTGAGTGCCCAGTGAGGACAACGTCGCTCCGTCCTCCAAGCACTAGCCCCATGCCCGATGTGCTGCACAAGTAGCGCAGTACCCTCTTCGCAGCATCCATGTGCACCTTTCGGTGCCGACCAGGAGCCACGTAGCGTGCCAGAAGGCCAAGAGGGTACGCAAGGTCAGGACGAGTGCAAGTCATCAGGTACATGAGGCAGCCAACTAGCTCTGGGTAAGGACCACTCGGCTCTACGGACTCGTCCGAAGGTGGAGCTGAGAGCGAGTGACCTGTAGCCAGAGGAGTGGACTGTGCCGAGGACCAGGTGAAGTTGAAGCGCCGAGGGACCTGCTGCACCATGTGTGACTGAGTCAGTGTAATGGTGCGGCGTGCTCTGTCCCGGGTGATTTGCAAGCCAAGGTAACTGCGCAGCTCACCCAGGTCAGTGCACGTGTGTCTCTTCTGCAGCTCCGACTTCACCAGGGCGAGAGCCTCAGTGTCAGCAGTGGCAAAGACCAAGTCGTCGACGTACACGAGGATGTAGAACGGCGGCAGCAAAGTGTCGGTGCACAGAAACAGCGACGGGTCAGCAGTCGAAGGAGCAAACCCAAGAGCCGCCAGTGTCGTCCTCAGTGTGTCGTGCCACTCACGCGGCGCCTGACGGAGACCGTAGACTGGCCGCCGGAGGCTCCACTGGGTACCAGGAGGGAACGACCCAGTGAAGTCAGGTGGGCGGCGCAGCCAGATCTCCTCGTGCAGGCTGCCCTGTAAGAAAGCTGTGCTGAAGTCAAGAGAGTGAAGCTCGTAGTCACGCTAAGCGGCAACGTGCAGCAGAACCCGAAGAGTGGTCATCTTCGGGGTGGGGGAGAAGGTATGGAAGAAGTCAACTCCCTCCCGCTGACTGAAGCCTCGAGCAACGTAACGAGCCTTGAAGACAGGCGGAGAACCCGGCGGCCGCTTCACCGTGAAAATCCACATGCCATCGACGATGTTCGCCCCAGGAGGGGGAACCTCATCGACGTAGGTGCCTGTGGACTTCCAGGATGCCATCTCTGCGTCCATGGCTATCTGCCACTGAGAGGAGTACTCACCCGCGATCGCCTCAGCGTAAGAGCGCGGGGTCTCCCTCAGGGGCAAGCAGCATGGCCACGAGATGAGGCGCAGCGGCTGCAAGACACTCAAGGTCCTCGTGCCTGTCCTCAAAGACGTCCGTGCTAAGAGCACACTCACCTCCGACGGACGGAGGACAGACAGACTTAGACTCAGCAACAAGACTAGCAGCGTAGTCTAGACGACAGGCAGCAGCAAAGTCAACAAGCTCAGCGACCAAGGCAGACGCAGCAGCAGACTCAAACGACGGGTCAGTGACAACAGTGGCTAACAGACACGTGACAGTAGGGTGCTCAGCACGAAACTGGTCCGACACCGGGTCCGGAACGTCAGGCAAAGAGGACGCAGGGGGAGACGGCAGAGGAACACGCTGCGGAGCAGAGGAAGGACGACGGACTACGAGGTGTGCGCCGGGGACAGCCGGCTGACGCGGACGGGGAACACGGCCACCAGTACGACCAGCGCAGGCAGTGCGAACAGGCGAGACAGGACGCGACGCAGGCTCACGACGCTCAGCAAGACTGCCCGGCTGTTCAGTGTACGGAGAAGGAGCGGGCAGAGGTGAGCCAGGTTGTAACGGAAGACCAGTAGACGACGGGAGGGTAAGAACCTGACGAAGCACGGAGTCAGGCGGTGGCAGAGACGACGGAGACGGCGGAGCAAAGAAGAGGCGTGGCTGCGCCGTGCCACCAGCACCAGCAGCTCCAGTACCTCCAGCAGCTCCAGCACCTCCAGCAGCAGCACCCCCAGAACCGCCAGCTCCAGCCCCTCGAGCGCCAGCACCACCAGCAGCTCCCGAACCTCCAGCGCCAGCACCTCCAGCTCCAGCACCACCAGCAGCTCCCGAACCTCCAGTGCTAGCACCTCCAGCGCCAACACCACCAGCAGCTCCCGAACCTCCAGCGCCAGCACCTCCAGTGCCAGCACCACCAAGCAGCTCCCGAACCGCCAGTGCTAGCACCTCCAGCGCCAACACCACCAGCAGCTCCCGAACCTCCAGCGCCAGCACCTCCAGTACCAGCACCACCAGCAGCAGCATCCCCAGAACCGGGGACCCCAGCCTCAGTGTCCCCTGCAGCAGCACCCCCAGGCGTAGTATCTCCAGCCCCAGCAGCTCCAGTACCCCCAGTACGAGCACCTCCGGGACCAGCGACTCCTGTACCTCATGAAGACAAAGTACCAGCACCACTCCCAGCTCCAGCGACGTCAGCAGAAGCACCGCCAGCAGCAGAGCCCCGAGCCCCTGTAGCACGACACTGACGGCGACCGACCAGTCGTGCAGCTGCTGTGAGGTGAGAGGCACACGCGGACGAAGGCGGCCACTCCAAGGAGACCGCGCAGCAGCAGGCTCGGCACCCGCCGGTGCCTCACCCCCAGACTCAGCACCCCCAGGCTCCGCACCCACGCTTAGGTTCAGCACCTCCAGACACAGCACCCCCAGGCTCCTCACGCTCAGGCTCAGCACCCCCAGGCTCAGCACCCCCAGACTCCTCACGCTCAGGCACAACACCCCCAGACTCCGCACCCCCACGCTCAGCACCCCCAGGCTCCTGTCGCACATGCTCAGTACCCCCAGTCGCAGCCCCCCCAGGAACAGCACCCCTAGCAGGACCTGAGTCACCAGTGACCTCAACAGGCGCAGGCACAGGAGGGTCTACCTGAGAAACACCTGAGGGAGCAGGACCTGGCGCGGGGAGGGGGGCTACCAGAGAAGGACCTGGAGCGAGCGCGGGCGGCGGCAGGGGGCGAGGGGCGGTGCGGTAGGGAAAGAGACGGTAAAAGGGAACCGACTCGTCAAAGGTGACGTCCTGAGACGCAAAGACACGACGCGAGGTGGGGTGGTAGAACTGCCAACCAGGCGCGTCTGTAGGAAAGCCAAGGAAGACGCAGGGAATGGCACGAGCGGAGAGCTTGTCCGCGGTGGTATCGCGGACAAAGGCACGAGCACCCCAGACCCGGAAACGCGACGCATCGCCAACCTTCCCCGTCCACAGCAGCGTGGGCGAGGTCTCCGGCAAGGAGACACGGGGCCAGAGGTTGAGCTGACGCGCGGCGTACCGGACCGCAAACGGCCACAAAAAATGGGGGGCAGCCGCATGGATCATGGAGGTACGAGCGACCTCCATGACTAAACCAATGCGGCGCTCAGCAACCCCATTCTGCTGCTGAGAGGGCGGAAGCGTGAACGACTGGGTGATGCCGTGCTCCGCACAGTAGGCTGCCAAGAGGTCGGAGGAGAACTCACCACCTCTGTCAGAGTGCAGACGCAGGATGGGAAACTCCGTCCCGCTCGAACCGCTCGCGGAGCTGGAGACGAACAGCGCGGATCCAGGGGATCAAAA